TTAACCTTGAAATTCCGGAAATATTGACTCACCGCGTAGTATTATCTCTTTTGGCCCAATTATTTGATCCCGTCGGGTGGATCTCGCCTATCATTGTTAAAGGGAAAATTTTGATGCAAAAAACGTGGTTATGTAAAGTAAATTGGGATGAGCCATTGCCAAACTCACTTCAAAATGAATGGTATAATTATTTTTTATCATTAAAAAAATTATCTAAAATTTCAATTCCTCGATGGAATTATTATGATCCAAAAAATTCTCAAATTGAATTACACGGATTCTCAGACGCATCTGACCTTGCGTACGGCGCGGTTATTTATCAAAGAACAATTTCAAATAAAGGAGAAATTAAAGTTTCATTGATTGCTAGCAAAACCAAAGTATGCCCAATAAAGAAAATATCAATACCACGAGCAGAATTACAAGGGGCTGTTCTTCTTGCTCGACTTTTTTCGTCATTAAAAGGAGTCAGAGCCTTTTCTAATATCTCTATTTATTGTTGGACTGATTCTATGGTTGTGTTGGCCTGGTTAAGTAAACATGCTTCTTCGTGGAAGCTTTTTGTGGCAAACAGAGTTTCCGAAATTCAAACTCTTCTCCCATCACAAAAGTGGAAACATGTGCCGACAGACAGTAATCCTGCAGATTTAGCATCGCGTGGACAATCACCATTACAACTCCATGAATCAACTATATGGTGGAATGGACCTAATTGGTTGATGCTTCATCCAGATCAGTGGCCGAGTCAAAATCTGCCATCTGATGAGGAATCATCTGTTGAACTGAAATCAAACACTCACCATATTAATGATCTTTCCACACATCCCTTGTATAATCATTTAATAAAATTTTCATCTTGGGAGAAAATAATTAGAATAATAGCTTATGTTTTAAAATTTGTTAAACTCTGTATCAAAACAATGAGTAAAAAAAGTTTCTCTTTCAAGACCTTTCGCGAACAAGTTCAATTTGATCAATCTGACAATAAAGTAGAATCAACGAAAAATCTAACTGCAAAGGATTTGTTGGATGCAAAAATCATTTTATATAAAATGTTGCAACAACAATTTCTTTCTGAAGATATAAAATCCTTGATAGAAAGAAAATATGTTTCATCAAAAAGTCCGTTGCACTCCTTAAAATCCCTTTATCGATAAACAAGGAGTAGTTCGTGTTGGTGGTAGATTGGAAAACTCCAATTTACCGTTCGAAACAAAACATCCAGTGATATTGAAAAAACACCCTATTGTAACATCATTGATACGATCAACTCATGTTAATTGCCTGCACGGGGGAATGAAATTAACATTGAGTACGTTAAGACAACAAGTTTGGATAATAAACCCGAGACCTCAAATAAAATCAGTCCTGTTTAAATGTATATTATGTACCAGACTTCGGGCATCAATGGCCACCCAATTAATGTCAAATCTACCAAAATCACGCGTAACAAAACCGCCCAAACCGTTTACTCATTGCGGGTTGGATTACGCAGGCCCTCTTCAAGTACGATTAGCAAGTGGTCGAGGTCATAAATCGCAATCCTGTTACATTGCGCTATTTATTTGTCTTTCCGTCAAAGCGATACACCTTGAACTTGTTTCAGATTATTCTTCGGAAAAATTTATTGCAGCCTATCAAAGATTTTGTTCCCGCCGCGGTATTCCTGCACATATTTATTCTGATCATGGGACAAATTTCAAGGGTGCATCGCGACTTTTACAGGAAGATTTTGCCAGAATTACGGCTGAACCAGATTTTCATGCATTATTAGCGAAAGATAATGTCATTTGGCATTTTATCCCTCCAGCTGCACCTCACTTTGGAGGTATTTGGGAGGCTGGTATAAAAAGTGTGAAGACACACCTCAAACGTATTCTTTTAGGTAAAACTCCTACTCTTGAAGAACTACAAACACTTTTATGCCAAATTGAATCGATTTTAAATTCAAGGCCAATTGCTCCTTATACCGACAATGTTGATGATTTAGATCCACTAACGCCAGGACATTTTCTTATCGGCGGTCCAATTAATGCTGTTCCATTTGAATCATTAATTAATTTAAATGAAAATAGGTTAACACGCTGGCAACAAATGCAACAAATGTTTGAAAAATTTTGGAAACGCTGGTCGACTGATTACCTTCAATCATTACAACACCGAACTAAGTGGCAAATATCTAATGTTCAAATAAAAACTGGACAAATGGTCCTGCTTCGAAAGCCAGATTTACCTCCCACAAAGTGGAATCTTGCACGCATTTCTGAATGCTTTCCTGGCACCGACGGTGTAATTCGTGTTGTCAAAGTAAAAACATATAAATCCGAATACATTCGACCGATAACCGAACTTATTTTATTACCCATTGATTTAAATGAAAATTGAATTTATTGTTAGTATATCTATAAAAAAAATATTTTTTTTTGAATAAATCGTCAATAACGATGTTTATTTAACATGTATTGAAATTTGTTATTTCAAGGCGGGCGGTTTGTTTAGGAATATGTGTTAATTCAAGTATTTGAGTTATTATGAATGTCCTAGTATTAGTAAGATTTACGAATTTTCTCGATGTAACCCGAAAGGTATTTGCAGGATTGTAACGAATTCCTTATCGAATCAGTCTTCGTCTTGAACAGAAGAGAGAAACACTCAATTTTCTTTCTAAACAAAAAAAAAACAATACTAAAGTCAAATTTGTAGTGATTTAAAACAGACATCTCTGGTTATTATTAATTTTGAAATTCTTGTGTAAGTGAAATTGATTTTGAAATAAAAGTTGATCAATTTTTTGTAATTAAAATGGTTTTGTTTTATTTTCAAAGATGATTGTGTTCCGATTTCCATAAAGTTTTATGGCTTATCTTTAAAGTTACTCAAAAAATTATTGTGAGTGAATAATAGTGGTGATAAAAAAAAAATCTAAACTCTCAATCCTCAACACAATTGTTTGTAAAATTTTCATTATTTATGATAATAATTATATTTTCGCGTAGAATTTTATCAAAATTTTTTTTTAAATAATAATTGAATTCTTTTGGGAAATTTTATTAAAATATTAGATATATTGGAAATCTTTGAATTCAGGAAAATTTTTAAAAAGAATTGAATTTCGGAGAATAATTTTATTACTTTTTATTTTTTAACAGTTTCCAGAAATAATTGTATTTTTTTTAAATAATTGAATTCTTTTGGGAAATTTTATTAAAATATTAGATATTAAAAATCATTGAATTCAGGAAAATTTTTAAAAATAATTAAATTTTGTAGAATAATTTTATTACTTTTGATATTTTTTAACAGTTTCTAGAAATAATTATTGTATTCTTTTGACGAGTTTTAATAAAATTTTTAAAAATAATAACATTTTTCGAGAAATTTGATTAAAATTGTATTAAAAATAATTGAAATTCTGCAATGAGTTTTACTATTTATGAAAATAATTGAATATATTGCGAAGAAATTTTTAAAAATAAAATTATAATTACGGTGACTAACTTCCCTTGATTATTTTCGAAAAATTAAAAAAAAATTTTAAAAGAATTTTATTATTTTTCATAGAATATAAAGAAATTTCAATTATTTCAAAAATTTTCAATTATTTGTTATAAAAATTCAATTATCTTGAAACAATAGAATTGAAAAATTTCAAAAATCTTATTTTTCAAAATTAAAAAAAAAACTGCGAAAATTCAATTTTATTAAAAGACTTTAAGTGTGTATCTTTTTTTTAAATTAACTAATAAAAATTTGAATTATTAATCTTCGCACTAAGAAACATGAATACATTAGAATGTGACTCTTTATAAAATTTAAGTATTTATCAATTAATAAATTAAAATACTTTGAAATTTCAATTTGTTAAAAAGTTTTTAATGAAATTCTTTAACAAATTTAATTATTTTCAGTTGAATTTCACAAAATTTCTATTAATTCGATAATTTTTTTATAAATTTATTTACCTACTATATTTGAATCAGTGACTGATTTTTTACTTTCAAATTAATTATTTTTAACTAATTCAAATTTAGAGAACAGTGTAAATATTTATAGAAATTGAAATGAAAAGCGATTTTTTTAAAAACAAATTCAAATAATAAAACATTTTTTAATTTGGGGAAAAAAATTCCCGGTTTGGCATAAAATTCCTGGCTTATTCCCGGTTTTTCCCGGTTAGTAGACACCATGGATCCTATTCTTTTCAAAATTTTATCATATTTCAAAAAAGAAAAAAAATTTAGTTTCCATAAATTTTATGTTTTAAAATATTTTTCATTCACCTAAAAATGGGTGGTCTCTCAATTATCACCGGTAGTGTAAGTAAAGAGTGAAAAGTATTAATAATAATCAAAAGTAAGCATATTATAATTTTTGAGAAATAAAAAATTTTCCAATGTTTGATGCATTGCGCGCTCTCTGAGAAATAGATTGAAATATTTTCCGCTGATGGTTTGATACTTGCAAAGCTTTATCGATCTCTCATATATAATATATTGGTGGGTTTTCTGAAGTAGGAAAAGTTGAAGAAATAATGCTATAAGCCATCAGTTGTTTCTATAAACTCGCAACTTGCAAAGTAGTGCGCGAAAATGGGGTTACGAAAGGAATAAAACAAGGCAGAAAAGATGCGAGAAACTGGGAAGCTGGAAAAGAGAGGAAGGTAATAAAAGCGGTTACAGAACAAACAATTTCAGTCTGTACATGTAAACTCTTGTTGAAGTGAAAACGCCAGTTCTTATGCTGCATCACGAAAATAAATTAAAGAAAAAACATGTTCTTATTGTACTTTCTGACAATCTCCCTCGTGTGCATGGAATGCAAAATTTTCGAGAAAACTTATTTCTTAATGCTTTTATAGGCAAAGGGATAATGTAAAAAAAAAATAGGATCTGTTCTTTATTTAGTATTATTTTTTACTAAATTAATTAATTCTTTTTGGTTTCGTTCTAATTTTAACAAGGTTTTTTTTAAAAAAAAATGTTAATTTCTCTATTACGCAGGTCTAATCGAGACTCATCGCGAGGGAAAAATAGCGAGCCTGATCGGAGTCGAGGGTGGTCATTCCCTCGGGAATTCTCTAGGAGTGTTAAGAACATTTTATGGTTTGGGAGCCCGTTACCTCACCCTAACGCATGCCTGTGACACTTCCTGGTGAGTAGATTTTCTTTAGAAATTGTTAAGATATCCAAAATTTATGTTTACTCTTAACTTCACCCTATGTGATCCGAGAAGATAAAAACTCTTAATGAACATGATAAATGTACTGATTCCATACATCACTCTTTTGTAATTTTTTCAAAGCTTCATTTTTAATTTTTTTTTCATCCACCGATTTTTTTCTTTCCCCCGATAAATGATTCAGTTCGAGTCTGGAGAACAACTAAGTGAGTCTGTCACTTTCCCTCAAAACAATTTTCCAGAATGTAAAGGAGCATAAATATCTTACACGTCTAAAACCTTCGAGAATGTGCGGCAGTACTTTTATTTAAATCACAAACAAACACTTCCACTATGCCGCACAGTTTTGTGTGCGATGGGTCTCGTTAAAATTCTGAGAATTCCCAAGTGGTATGATGATGCCCTATTCACCCCATTTGCAAAGAAACTGAGTATAAAATCGTGTCAACATTATGAAAACAAAGTGCTATTAGTTTTGCAGCATTAAGAGGTTAAGTAATGATGCTAATTTTTCCGATTTTTGATCAAATAGTATTATCACAGAGTTTGTAGTAATCTTACCTTTTAATATGCTGTCAATTATGGTACACGTGTCCTCCGTCCTGCGAACTGTTTGACATTGTTGTTCTGTTATGGTAACGTTGAACCTGCAATAGTAAAAAACAATTCGATTTAAAATAGAGTAAAAATTTTTTTGTCTTAGGAAAACAATGCAACTTAAGCGAAAAGAAGCTGATTTCCGATGAGTTTGTAAATTGCTGCTCTCGTTTCGCTCAAGCAGCTATTTACAAACTCATCGGAAAACAGCTTCTTTTCGCATGAGGATCAACTTAGAGTCCACAATGTTGATCAACAAAGAAAGTTTTAATATTACTCAAAGATTATGCAACAAAAATGTATGAAAAAGGAGTTTTTTATTTATACTTTAACAATATAATTGTATATTTCTTGAAATAATTTTTGTCTACATTTATCAAACTTTTTTCGTTGATCAACATTGTGAACACTTCAACTTCTCATAAGGAGCACAATACACTATATTCTTTTACCAAATCAGTATAAACAGAGTTACCAAAAAAATTAAATTTTGTTTGTCCCTGACTTTTCCCTGATTTCCAGACAAAATTTAGACTTTTTCCCTAAACCTTCAACTTCAACTAAAGAATACTAAAGAATACGTAAAAAATTCGAATTTTTCTATGCTTATTAGAATTATTAATCTTAATTAATTTTCGAGTTATAGGAGTTAATTTTACTAAAAAGCACTATATACATCACTTTGTAGAGGCTACGATCTTGATGGACTTGAGCTCAGTTCTCCAGATTAAATAGCATACCTACGTAGATATGCTATTTAGTATGGATTCACTACGATTTTGCACTTAATTAATTAGCACATCTACTGTTTTGCATATTTGCAATGACAAATTACAATATTTATTTTGCATAATAAAATTCAGCATACTCGAATTACTCAAGAAGCATCGTTACATTTTAAAAAAACATTATACGAAAAAAAGTACAGATAAAAACCCGTTTTGTCAAATATCTCAAAACAACGCTAAATGTAGATGTTGTGTTTTTAAATCAGAACGGCAGACTGTAACTTCTTCAAAATTATTCTCATCATTTCAATTCAATTATTATTTTCTAGAATTTTTAACTAAAATTCTTCTTTAAATCATTTATTTTTAATAAGTTTCAAGAAAGTCTTTTGAAAATTTTCAAATTCATTTATTGACAGATTCAATTTTAGGAAATTTTGATTATTCGAAAATTTTTCAATTAGGTACATATTATATACATTATAAAATACAAAATAAAAACTTCAAATAATTTCAAAGAAAATTTTAGTTAAACTTTTTCACAAAATAAATTCTATAGAAAATTGTTAATTAAAAGTATAAAAAATTCATATTTTCAAAAGATTTTATAATTTAAAACTTTTTCAAAATTCAATTCTAAAAATTCTTCCTAATAATGTTATAATACAAAACTTTATAATTTGATGAACAATTAAATGTTTTCAATAATTCAATTCTCATAAAGAATTTACCAACAAATTTTTAAATAATTGAATTACTTTGGGAAATTTTAATAAAATTTTTAAGAATAATTACATTTTTTGAGGAATTTAATTAAAATTGTATTAAAAATAATTGAAATTCTGCGATGAGTTTTATTATTTATGAAATTGAATTTCTAGGGAATTTTTATTATTTATAAAAATAATGAAATATTTGAGTAGAATTTTATCATAATTTTTTTTTAAATAATTGAATTCTTTTGGGAAATGTTATTAAAATTGTAGATAATGAAAATCATTGAATTAGGACAAGTTCTTAAAAATAATTGAAATTTTGACAAGTTTCTCAAAATAATTAAATTTTACAAAGAATTCAATTAAAATGTTTGACATTAATTAAATTCCTTGGGAAAATGTTATTAAAATATAGTAGATATTAAAAATCATTAAATTTAGGCAAATTTTTCAAATTAATTAAACTTTTACAAGTATTTTATTAAAAGTTTTGAAAATTATTGAATTTTGTGGAAGAATTTTGCTATTTATAAAAATAATTGAAATCTTGATGATAATTAAGAAAAAATTTTAAAAGTAATTGAATTTCGGTGAAAAGTTTTGCTATTTATAAAAATAATTGAAATCTTGACGATAATTAAAAAAAATTTTTTTTAAATAATTGAATTTTGTCGAAGAATTTTGCTATTTATAAAGATAATTGAAATCTTGACGATAATTTTTTAAAGTTCTTTGAAAATAATTGAATTCTTGACGATCGGGTTAAAAAAAGTTTTAGAAATAATTGAATTCTTATGATAAATACTCTTATTTATAAAAATAATTGAATTTTGTAAAGAATTTTATTAAAATTCCTTTATAGTTAATTGAATTTCGACGAAGAATTTTACTATTTATAAAAATAATTGAAATGTTATTAAAGATAATTTTTGAAAATAATTGAATTCTTATGATAAATATTGTTATTTATGACAATAATTGAATTTCAGCGAAGAATTTTGTTATTTATAAAGATAATTGAAATCTTGAAGACAAATTAAGAAATAAATAATAAAAAAAATTTAATTCCTGCGAAGAATTTTATTATTTTTGAAAATAATTGAATTCTGGTGAAGAATATTGTTATTTATGAAAATAATGGAAATTTGCAAAAAAAAATATATTAAAATATTTAACTAATTTCAATAGAATATGAATTATTAAAATCTTTCAAAAAACAAAGTTCTTTAACATTCCTAATTAAATTCATTCAAAATTAAAATTTTATATAATTTCAAATTGAAACCTTTTGAAGTTCATTTATTTATGAAAATTGTAAACGTAACTCATAAAATTTAATTATTTTTGAAATATTTAAGTAAAATTATTTATTAAATAATTTATAAGTAATAATTTTATAATTGTTCTTAGAGAATTAAATCCATAATTTTTTTATGAATTAATTAAAAATTCTCCAGTACCTATTCTTAATAAAATTTCCTGACTTGGCCCTGATTTTCCCGATTATTTCCTGATCTTTGACAAACCTAATAAGAAATAATTTAATTCCTTTTTCCAATAAACAAGTTATGAAACGTATACCAAATTAATATCTAATCACCAAAAAAATTAAAAAATACAGCACAACCAAAATAATAATTTAAATCAGAACCAACATGAAATCGTCCACTTCCGTAGATTTTCCCAGGTACACAAACACAGCTGTACGCGGTAAAGAAGCGTTGCATACAAAATGAAACTTTTCTCTGATATTGGGAATTTTTTTTCCCTTTTTTATCAGTGAAGAATGTAAAAATAGATAAAATGTTGAATCCTTTTACGAGAGGAGAAATAAAAATGCAGAAGAAAAGCTAAACGGAAGATAAATAGAAAACGTGTAGGGAAAAGTCAGCGAAAAAAGTAATTAGAGGTAAAAAAAAAAAGAAGTGTATAAAAGGCGCAGTAGCAAAAGGATGATACATGTAATACGTTTTACAATAACTTAGATAATTAAGCTCGAAAGAATGCAGTGATGAATATAAAGAATATAGAGAGAGAGAGAAAAAAAAGAAGCACAATATTATCATCGTCATACTTTTCCTAGAATTATATAAACAAAACTTTTTAACTAGATCATTCGAAATTAAAATTTCTTGAAAAGAAACTCTCAATTGTAGAAAAAAAAAGTATTTCGCTCTTCTTTCAGTGAATTCGCTAAATTAAATCCACTTGCGCCAACAGTGTCGTCTCCAGCAGGTTGGCAATACTCGCTAGGCCAGTGTGCACATATATATAGTGTATAACTCGTGTGAGAGTTTCTTGTGGTTTTTCAATCCTCGCTTGGGTTTGCTTTACGCGTCCCTCGGCGCCGACATTGCGCGGTTGTAAATAAGGGAGGGATTTGTTCTTTGGCAATGTACAGTGTGCCTATACTTTGATGCAACGTGGTTTTGCGGCGTCTGCTTTGCTACCTTAGGTAATGTGTGCAACTCTGCCGATAGAGACGTCATAAAAGTCAGGGGTCAATCCCCAAACGACTCACGTTACCCCAAACTTACAGCCCAATGCTTTTATTAGGACAATATCGAAATTGCTTTTGAACGTGTTCCCAAGGCCTAATGTCCTACTGCTGGTGTGCGCGATTTTCAGAAGAACGAGATTGCTTCTGTGCGCGATTGAATCTTTTGCGGTTGCCTCCCACGATAAGTGTATCCATTCCAAACTCTAATGGGCATTCTAACTTTCAAGGAGGATGCACCATATAAGATCCACTGTACTCAGAGTTGCCACAAAATCAATTGTTTTTCCCTGACTTTTTCCTAATTTCCAAAGACAACATTTAAACATTTTCCCTCACCCTAAACAATATTCTGATTCACTCTAAAAATGATTATTATTAATAATTATTCAAAAACATATTTTCCTAATTTCCAGATAGAATTTTGCCCTTTTTCCTTACCCTAAACAATATATTCTGATACACTCTAAAAATTATTATTATTAATTATTAACAAAACATGTTCTATTACATTTATTTACGAATTCAATTATTTTCAAAAATTTTTCAAAAATTATGGTTAAGATTTCAATTATCTTTATAAATAGCAAAATTCTTTGCAGAAATTCAATTAATTACAGGAATTTTAATAAAATTCTATGCAAAATTCAATTATTTTCAAAAATAACAATATTTATCATAAGAATTCAATTATTTCTAAAAATTTTTTAAACCGGATCGTCAAGATTTCAAATTTTGCAAAATTTTATTTAAATTATGGTCAAGATTTCAATTATCTTTATAAATAACAAAATTATTTGCCGAAATTCAATTAATTACAGGAATTTTAATAAAATTCTATGCAAAATTCAATTATTTTCAAAAATAACAATATTTATCATAAGAATTCAATTATTTTCATAATTTTTTTTTAAAATGATCGTCAAGATTTTAATTATTTTAATAAATAGCAAAATTCTTTGCCGAAATTCAATTAATTACAGGAATTTTAATAAAATTCTATGCAAAATTGAATTATTTTTATTAATAATAATATTCATCATAAGAATTCAATTATTTTAAAAAAATTTTAAAACCGTACCGTCAAGATTTCAATTTTTGCAAAATTCTTATTTAAATTATCGACAAGATTTCAATTATCTTTATAAATAGAAAAATTCTTCGCCGAAATTCAATTATTTCCATAAATAACAAAAATTTTCATCAGAAGAATTCAATTCAATTCAATTTCAATTATCTTTATAAATAGAAAAATTCTTTGCCGAAATTCAATTAATAGACAGGAATTTTAATAAAATTCTTTGCAAAATTCAATTATGTTCATAAATAATAACTTTCATCAGAAGAATTTAATTATTTTCATTATTTTTTTTTAAATGATCGTCAAGATTTCAATTATTTTAATAAATAGCAAAATTCTTTCCGAAATTCAATTATTTATAGGCATTTTAATAAAATTCTTTGCAAAATTCAATTCTTTTCATGAATAACAATATTCATCATAAGAATTAAATTATTTTCAACATTTTTTTCAAATTATCGTCAAGATTTAAATTACCTTTAAAAAATAGAAAAATTCTTCTCCAAAATTCAATCTTTATAATTATCTTTAAGATTTCAATTGTCTTTATAAATAGTAAAATTCTTTACGAAATTCAATTAATTACAAGACTTGTAATCAAATTCTTTGCAAAATTCAATTACTATCATAAAATTATTACTTAGAATTTATTTAATAAATAATTTTAATTAAATATTTCAAAAATAATTGAATTTTATGAGAGTTACGTTTACAATTTTCATAAATAAATGAAAAAGTAAATAAATAAATAAATCAAAAGTTGAATATGAATATTGTTATTTATGAAAATAATTGAATTTTGCAAAGAAACTTCAAGTAATGTTAAAAAATGCAATTAAACTTTTTTAAACACAATTAATTCTACAGATTTGTCAGTTAAAAGTATGAAAAATTTAGATTTTCAAAGAATTTTAATTTGAAACCTTTTCAAAACACAATTATTTTTGAAAATAATTAAATAATTAAATTCTTTTAAGAAATTTAATTAAAAATGTATTGACAATAATTATTGAATTCCAATAAACAAATTATATCACAATTTTTTTGAATGATTTTTATAAAATTTTTAAGAATAATTGCTTTTTTCGTGAAATTTATTTAAAATTGTATTAAAAATATCTAAAATCCTGCTATGAGTTTTATTAGTTATGAAAATAATTGAATTTTTGCAATAAATTTTATTAATATTTTTAAAAATAATTGAATTCCGGAAAAGAATTGATTTTTTGAAAAATTTCATGTAAATTGTGTTTTAAATAATTGAATTTCTAAGAAATTTTATTATTTTTAAAAATAATTGAATTTCTAAAAAGAAAGTTATTTTTTATAAAAATAATTGAATCATTGCAAAGAAATTGAGTTATTTGTAAATAAATTGTTGTCAGAAATAGAAAAAATTGAACGTTTTGTACTAGAATTCGTGGTAATTTCATTGCATTTCCAATTTTCAATCGTCATTTCACCGATTGTGTGCCATATTGAGGGAAAATGAAGAAATACAAATAAGGAGGGTGGAAAAAAGTAGTATTAAAAAAACCCCTTCTCATCAATTCGGAGCAAGAAATTCTATCTACAGTTTTAAAGTCACTTTTTTTCTTTTTAAATAAATCAGTACGTTTTCAAAAAAAAAAAAAAAAATGCCATAAAAGCTCCAGATCGATTTCACATATATATGTAGGTATACGAAGTAAATAAAAAATCGTAATGTCTATAAAGTTCTCGATTCGCATATCAATTGAAGTTTATGTCATAAGCCGTTCTACATCGATAAGCAGATAGACAAAAAAAACAAAAGGAAGATTTAGAATCGATTTTTTATTGAGAACTCCATTTTCCGAACTGTCTTCATCAATATTTATGTCATGTAGTAAAAGAAAAATATGATGACAGGTAACCAATGATGGAAAAATGTTAACAATTATCTCATAGTTTTAGTGCCATACAGTCCCTAAAATTTTCAACCTTCAAAAGAAACGAACTTTACATTTTTTGCAGATTCAAATTTTTTTTATAAACAGTAGGTACATCAGGAATTACAAAAAATTCATGTCCTGATTTATACTACACTTTTACATTTTTCTATTTTTACTCCACTCACTATATTTAATTAAAAAAATATCTATATTCAAAAAATGTTTCATTTAATTAAAATATCCGACTTTTTCAAAAAGATTATATTGAAAAAAATATTTCGTTTAATATTGAAAATTCAGAATTTTCGGAACAAAAACACAAAAATTGTCGAATTTGCAAAATTTTGATGATGTAACAGAATATAGAAATTGTTTTACTATGAAAGTAGAACGAAAGTTCAAGTATAAAAGTAAAAAAAAAGGAAAATCTACTTTAAAAATCCTTTTTTAAAACAAGATTTTCTTTCACACTACGCTTACAAATTCTCATGTGTCCTTTTAATTATATGGTATAAATTAGCAGCGTTTGATATATTTCTAACAAGAATTTTCCCGGCAGGGCAGTCTGTTCGCTGGGTGAAACAAATAGTACTGAAACCTCGGCGCCTGGCCTCAGTGAATTTGGAAAGGTAAGCAAAATTAGCATTTTGTAAATTACAATGAATTCATGTCAATCATTCAACACTTTAGTAAAAAAAAAGTAGTTTTCTCTTTTAAATTTTTATAAATTTTTGTTTAAGTAATATTTTAATGATTTCTTGACAAATAATATAAAGAAGAAAAATTTATAAACAAATTTTATTGTTTACTAATGCCAATATAGTAAAAATACTCATACAATGTAGTAAAAATATTCGAGCAATACAAGAAAAAATACTGATATAGAAAAATACTCATACAATACAGTAAAAAATACTGATATAGTAAAAATACTCATAAAATATAGTAAAAAAATACTAATATAGAAAAATACTCATACAATATAGTGAAAAATACTAATATAGTAAAAATACTCATACAATACAGTAAAAAATACTAATATAGTAAAAATACTCATACAATACAGTAAAAAATACTAATATAGTGGAAATACTCATACAATACAGTAAAAAATACTAATATAGTAAAAATACTCATACAATACAGTAAAAAATACTAATATAGTGGAAATACTCATACAATACAGTAAAAAATACTAATATAGTAAAAATACTCATACAATGCCACAGTAAAACGTGAAGTGTTAAAATAACACCAGAATGGATTAAAATAATCTGCAACATAGTTTAATCCCTGTATAGGATTAAAATAATCTATTTTGAGGTTATTTTTAACTATGAATAAAATTTTACTTTAAATAAAACACCAAAGTCAACGATTTGTAAAAAATCAACGAATTTAGCTTTTCCAGGGAGAATAGTAAGTTAGTTACTAACTTACTAACTAACTTAGTAACATAGTTACTAAATTCAATTGTGTTCAAAAATTTTAAAAAATTCTCGTCCAAATTTCAATTCTCTTTATAAATAATAAAATTCTTGGCAAAATTTCAATTATTTTTAAAAGTTTTCTAAAATTCATTGATTTTCAATATCTACAATTTCAATAAAATTTTCCAAAAGAATTCCATTATTAAAAAAAAATTGAATAAAATTCTACGCAAACATTCAATTATTTTCATAAATAATAAAAATTTTTACAGGAATTCAATTATTTACAAATTTTTTTTATAAATTTCTTCGCAATAATTCAATTATTTTCATTAATAATAAAATTTTTACAGGGATTCAATTATTTTTATAAATAATCAAATTCTTTTAGGAATTCAATTATTTTAATAAATAATAAAACTCATTGCAAAATTTCAATTATTTTTAATGCAATTTTAATCGAATTCCTCGAAAAATGTAATAATTCTTAAAAATTTTATTCAAATTCGTCCAAAGAATTTAACGATTTAAAAAATTTGTTGATAACATTTTTTATGAGAATTTAATTTCAAGAAACATGAAATTAATAAATTATTTATTTTTGTATTTAAATAATTGAATTCTCGTTAGAAATTACTAATAAAAATGGTTTTAAAATTTAAAAACGAATTTCAGTTAAAATTTTAGATTATAATTAAATATTAAAAGCATTATAACGTGGATTTTTATAAATAATTAAATTTTGAACAAATTTCAAACTAAAATCATTGAAATTCTTAATTTTTCATTTTTTTCACAAAAAATTCTGTAGAATTAATTCTTTTTAAAAGTTTAATAGAATTTTTATTGAAATTATTTAAAGTTTTTATTTTTCAATATACATTTAATTGCAGAATTTTCGAATAATTGAAATTTTGTCAAATTGAATTGTAAACGAATGAATTTGAAAATTCTCAAAGAACTTTTTTAAAAATGATTAAAAATAATGGATTTATTGAAGAATTTTAGTTAAAAACACTAGAAAAAAATTTAATTTTAGAGAAATTACAAATTATTGCAGAAATTCAATTATTTTCAAGTGTAATAAAATTCTTCTTAAGGATTCAATTATTTTTACTAATAATAAAACTCATCGCAGCGTTTCAATTATTTTTCATAGAAAATTATAATTGAATTCCTTGAAAAAAGTAATTATGTTCATGCAAGTTTTAATAAAATTCGACAAAAGAATTCAATTATTTAAAAATTTGTTACTAAAATTCTTTATGAGAATTGAATTTTGAGAAATATTCAATTATTCAATAAATTATTTACTTTTGCATTCAAATAATTAATTTCTTGTAGAATTTTCTAATAAAAATTGTTTTTTATTTCATAAAAATGAATTTCAGTTAAAATTTTAGATTATAATTGAATATTAAAAGCAATATAGCGTGAATTTTTAGAAATAATTGAATTTTGAAATTAATTTTTTTGAAAAAGTTTAATTGAATTTTCTTTTATATTACTTGAAGTTTTTATTTTCTAATTTATTGAAGAATTTACGAATAATTGAAATTTCGTGAAATTGAATATTGTAAAGAAATGTATTTGAAAATTGACAAAGAATTTTTTCGAAAATTATTGAAAATAATAGATATAAAGTAAAATTGTAGTTAAAAATTTTTGAAAATAATAATTGAATTGAAATAATGCAAATAATAATAATGAAATTTTGAAGAAGTATAATATTCTTATAATATAAAATAATGATTTTATTACTTGGTCATCTTGAATTATTATAAAATATGAAGAAATCGATGACTTTGAGTCGAAGACTCGGAGTTATCGATATCTTCATGTTTTATAGTTTTAAAAAATTTTAATAAACTAAAATTTCATTCATTGTAAAAAATAACACCAAAATTGATTATTTTAATTTTTTTTGTGTTAATTTAATCTGCAACAGTTTTTAATACCTCACGATTTACTGTGACAGTAAAAATACTCATACAATGCAGTAAAAAATAATAATATGGTAAAAATATTCATACAATATAGTAAAAAATACTAACATATATATAGTAAAATTCTAACCCAAAATATTAAAATACTAACACAATATACAAAAATAGAACTAAATTTGCATGAAAAGAAAATTCAACACAAAATAATATCACGAATATGAAACTATTTGAAGAATAACAATGCTTACAAAATATAAATTTCCCCTAATAGTTGAAAATTCCAAATATAAATCTGTCTCAAGTTTAAACAATTACTATCTGTCTTTTGTAAAATATGAGGGCAAAGTGTTTAATTTAACTCTCACGACAAACCCACCCCCACCCCCCCCCCTCTCCTCGCTCCTCCTGCTTTCGTACACTTACAGTTTTGTGAGAGAGGTGAAGAAAACAAGATCGTAAATAAAATATTCCGCCAACGTTCACTGCAGGATGCACACACAAATACATATGTCGCGCGTTGACGTTATTGAATATTTTCAAAAATAGTACACATGGAAAAAAAGAAAGTATTAAAAAACAATAAATACATAAAATTCCCCACAAAACTTGCGGTATATGCACGTACGTTCCCTAAATTTAAAAAAAAAAAACTTTTTTCCAACGATGAATACGAACCGAAAAAAAAGGAAATGAAACTAAGGGATGTAAATCAAGTATTCAAAACGCGAGTGAGCATTGCAATCGACCTAAATCTTTTATCGCTTTTCCAAGACTGACTATAGTTAAAAACTATTTTAAAGTATCATTTTTGAGAGACTACCATATTGCAGAATCGAAAAATGGTTATTATTTATAGTGCTTTATTCATTTTTTCCTAAAGTCATGTCACGTGGGAGAAAACTATATAGTTATATATGTACGAGAGATGCAGCACTTGTGTAAATATAATGGGATCAGAATATGCATACGATTGTAAATGTGCCCCTACAAATAACTACAATACATGAATCAAAATTTTACATCAAAGGCTAATTAATAACAAAGGGTTGTTAATGTAAGTGGAATATTAACACAGAGACTGCCGCACGTTGGCTTAATGCTTTTTAATAATTAATTTTACTTAACAGCATGTGACTGTTACAGAAATCAATGTTAATTTTTTCGACCACTTTTCTCTTAAAATATTAAATAAATTAAGCTAGTTTTTTGTGAATAACTCTAAAATATAATAAAGAAGAGCAGTGATGTGCAAAAGTTTTAATAATTCTAAAATAAATTATAAAAAAATACTTTGAAATCGGAAAAGACGAGAAATTGATTAAAAGTGATTTTGAGAACTGATAATTTTAAAGTTATTTTTTTAATTATTTTGGAACAAATATTTTTGAAACAAGTAATTTTGAAACTAATAGGTATTTTTAAAACAAATATTTTTTATACAAGTATTTTTTGAACAAATATTTCTCACACAAGTATTTTTGAACGAAATATTTTCCAAACAAATGTATTTGAAACAAACATTTTTCAAACAAATATTTTTCTAACAAGTATTTTTGAAACAAATTTTTTAAAACTAACGGAAAATTTTCGATTACACTCACTTAATTAGTGTTTTCGTATTTCTATATTCAATATTTTTTGTATATTTCTGTTTAAAAAAAATTTGAATTGAAAATTTATGAGTGAAAGAAGACACCAATTATAATCAACGTTATTGTTTTTATATAAACGGAATTATTGAGAATGAGAGTTATGGATTATATTTCCGATACGAGCGACCCCAAGTAGAGAGAGAAAGGTTTTAGCAGGTGAAAAAAGAGAGACAAAAACAAAAAAAAATTCTGACTGTTCGCCTTAACCAATAGAAACCAATGGCTGACGTGAGAGTAAAAAAAAAATGCTACGATATAAACGGCACGTCGATATATATACGAATGGCTAGGACAATGGCCGCGTTTCGAGCTGTGCACGCTTAACGAATGTTCTGTTCGTTTTTTACATACGTGTCACACTGATGCTTGTTCTAGATGCTTTGGAGAAAAAAATTCAGAAACAAAGAAGCTTCGCGATTATTAAAATGACAAAAGACGAGTTAAACTTTGTATTGTCATTTTTCTTTTTTTTGAGAGTCTTTAAATTGTATTATGAAATTTTTTTTTTATATTTGAATATTAGATTGCAATTTAGGAAATTTACTTTGAAGTATATAGTAACATTTTTGGAAAGATTTTGTTGGTGCGGAAACGATTAAAATCTAATTGAAAAATATTTGGTCAGTACACCTTTGTTTCAAAAATACTTGTTATTAATTTCATGAATAACAATATTCATAATAAGAATTCAATTATTTTCAAAATTTTTTTAAAAATAATCGTCAAGATTTTAATTATTTTAATAAATCGCAAAATTCTTTACGAAATTCAATTATTTATAGGAATTTTTTAGAAAGGTTTCAAATGATAATCTTTGGAAATCTGAATTTTTCATACTTTAAACTAACAATTCTGTACAATTAATTGTGTTTGAAAAAGTTTAATTGAATTTTTTTTCCATTATTTGAAGTTTCTTTGCAAAATTCAATTATTTTCAAAAAGTATTGCCAAGATTTTAATGATCTTTATAAATAGCAAAATTCTATCCAAAATTCAATTATTTATAGGAATTTTAATAAAATTCTTTGCAAAATTCAATTATTTTTATGAATAACAATATTTATCACAAGAATTCAATTATTTTTAAAAGTAATAAATTTCTTCTTGGAAATCTAATTATTTAAAAAAGAATTCTATTAAAATCGTTCGCAAGAATTCAATTATTTTCATAAATAATAAAATGCTTTTTAGGAATTCAATTATTTTCACAAATTTTAATAAAATTCTTTGCCAAATTAATAACATTTTTCGCCAAAATTCAATTATTTTCAATATCTACTATATTTTAACAAAATTTCCCAAAAGGAATTCAATTATTTAAAAAAAATTTTAATAAAATTCTACTCAAACATTAAATTATTTTTATGAATAATAAACATTTCACAGAAATTTAATTATTTAAAAAAGAATATTTTTCGCAATAGTTCAATTATTTTTTTAATTATAAAACTCATCGCAGAATTTCAATTTTTTTTTTTCATTTTTCATCAAAAAACTAGGAAAAATATTTTTTTGGACAAAAATGTATACAAAAATTTTAATAGAAGCGTATTTTTTCTTCTGAATCGTTAATTACTAACGTTGTGATCTTCAGTAACACTCCATAAAAAATTTATTTGGTTCATAAATAACCGACTACTTTTATTACTATTACCAAAAAATTATTTACTTAAATTAAAGTTAATTTAAATCAAATAATTTATATTTCAATTATGTTTGTACAAGCCCTTGATAGTTAATTTTTAAAAAGTAGCTTTAAAAATAAAAACAGTAATAAAAAATAGCTGTCAAGAAACTGATTTTGAAGATTAAAAAAAATTCATTTTAGTCTATTCATAAAAACTTGATTCAGTATTTCCCTGACTTTTTATCATTTCCATCAAAATATTCAAATTTTTTTTAACTTGGTAATAACTACAATTCTACATTTTTCTAAAATTTAATTATTTTCCAAATTTTCAGTTAAATTTTTTCAAAAATACGATTAGGTATTATATATTAAAAAAAAACTTTTAAAAGTAAAAAAAAAATTTAGTTCAATTAAATGTGACAAAATTTCCAATTAATTAGACTAAAATTTTAACTGAAATTCATTTTTAAATCAATTCTTGTTATAAAGTTCGACGAGAATTCAATTATTTAAATACAAAAATAAATAATTAATTGAATAATTGATCATTTCTTAAAATTGAATTCTGAAAAAGAATTTTATCGCAAGAATTTTAATAAAATTTTTAAGCATTTTTCAAGAAATTTATTTAAAATTGTTTTAAAAATAATTGAAATCCTGCGAAGATTTATATTATTTATAGAAATAATTAAATTGTTTATGAAAATTTATTTATACAAATAATTGAATTCTTGTTAAGAATTTTATTTAATTTTTTTTTAATTAAATAAATTTTTAATAAAAATGTTGATAATAATTCAATTCTTTTGAGAAAAATAATTGCAATTGTATTGAAAATAAATAAATTTTTATATGCATCTTTTATTAAAATTATTCAAAACAATTGATTTTTTCGGAAAATTTCATAAAAAAATTTGTTAAATAATACATTTTTTAAAAAAAATTCTATGGAAATTGTATTTGAAATACTTGAAGTTCTCTGTAAAAATGTTATTATTTAGAATTTTCGCGAAGAATTCTATTTATTTTTTTTAAATAATTGATTTTTTTAAATTTCATAGAAAATATAGAAAATAATTGAATTTCAGACAAAACTTTCCTTATATTTCTAAAAATAATTAAAATCCTGCGAAGAATTTTATTATTTATGCAAATTTATTTATGAAAATAATTGAATTCTTGTTAAGAATTTTATTAAATTTTTGATAATAATTTTTCTTTTGAGAAAAATAATTGCAATTGTACTGAAAATAAATAAATTTTTGTATGCAACTTTTATTAAAATTATTCAAAACAATTGACTTTTTCGGAAAATTTCATAAAAAAATTTGTTAAATAATAAATTTAAAAAAAAAATTCTATGAAAATTGTATTTGAAATACTTGAAGTTATCTTGTAAAAATGTATTATTTATGAAAATAATATAATTTTTACGTAGAAATCTATTTTTTTTAAATAATTGATTTTTTAAAATTTCATAGAAAATATAGAAAATAATTGAATTTCGGCCAAAAATTTCCTTATTTCTAAAAATAATTGAATTTTTGTGAATTCTGTTTTTCATTTTTGAAAATAATTGAATCGTTTCAAAGTAATTTAATAAACTTTTTAAGAATTATGCGAGAAATTCATTTAAAAATGTACCTATTAAAAATCATTGAAATCCTGCAAAGTATTTTATAATTTATAAAAATAATTGAATTCTTGCAACGAATTTTATTAAAATTTTTGAAAATAATTGAATTCTTGAGAAGAATTTTATTATTTTTGACAATATAGTTGAATTTTTGTAAAGAATTTTATCAAAATTCTTTTAAACAATTGAATTTTTTTAAAGAATTTTTTATTACAAATTTTAAAAATAATTAAATTTTTTTTTTGAGAAAATTTGAGAAATATAAATAAAAATGAAATATTAGAAAAAAAAGTACAATTGTATTGAAAATAAATGAATATTCTTATAAACAAATATTATGGAAATTATTGAAAATAATTTATTTTTTTCCGAAAATTCCATAACAAATTTTTTAAATATCTAATTAATTAACAAATTTTTTAAATATCTAATTAATTAACAAATTTTTATAAAAATTGTATTTCATTTAATTGAAATTTTTTCTAAAAATGTTATTATTTTTTGTAAATAATTAAATTTTTGCGAGGTGAATCATGTACTCTATTCACTTTATGTCGTTTGTGAGTGAATTTTCATGCCGTCTAGGCGGCAATTTAAAGAACTATATTGGCGCGAAATTCAAAATACAAAATCTCCAATTGAACCCCTTAATGCAAGAACCAGACATAGCCCATTGAAATTAAATGGGCTGCGTCTGGTTCTTGCATCAAGGGGTTCAATTTACTTTTGTTTTACAAGGAGGGGGGGGGGAGTACTTAAAATCTTACATAAGATTATTTTAAATGTAAATTTCGTCAACTTATTTAATTATCAAAAATTTACTTTTCAGAAAAAAAATCTGACATAAAATAAAGGGGGATGATCCAAATCCAAGTCGTTTTAAATGCAAAAAAAAAACTTAGAACAAGACACATTTTCTAGTGTCTGTAATGTAATTCGAAAAGTGTATACAGTATCAACTCAGAAAACCGGAAATAGAAAACAATTTACAAAATGCAGTTCCCAAGGGATTCATTTACATCACCTCATATTTTTTTCTTTTTCTTTTTGAAATCTCGGTGAGAAATAAAAATAATTAAAAAGACAAACAGTCATCTCTCATCCCCTATAATACACAGAGTGTCGTCTATATATTATCAAAAATTTGCGTCTTAAGAAAAGATTTGTTGAGAATAAATTTGTGTTTTTTTTCAAGATATTGTACTTGCTATAATTACAGTGCGGTATGCATACTGACAAATGATGTAAATTTACAGGCCGTCGTTAGGGAACTAAACAGGCTTGGGATGTTGGTGGACCTGTCTCACGTTTCAACAAGAACGATGAGAGCAGCCCTGCAGACGACAAGAGCGCCGGTGATTTTCTCGCACAGCGCAGCAAGAGCGCTCTGTAATTCTAGCAGGAACGTGCCAGACGACGTGCTCAGAAATCTGGTGAGTTATCAAGTAAAATCTCGAAAATAAAGCATCGTTGTCACACAGTGAAGAAATCTAACGTATACACACCACTGTTTCTTGTCCTCATTCATTATACTCCATTTATAATTGGAACTTTTATTATCCAAGACAAAAATTCTCTCTCCCCTCGCAAGTATATATATATATCTCTCAAATTTTACCTCTTCTTCTATATCTCTTTATCTCTCTCTCTCCCTCACTCTCTTTCTTTCTTCTCTCACCTTTTTTTCCCGCACCTTTTTTTTTTCTCTCCCTATATTTTAGTGATTGAAAACGTTATTAAGTTTGTCAGTTTCTTTGACATGCGGGGATATAGGTATATAGAAATTTTTCGCACAAGATTTATAGGGGAGGAAAGTGTGTCTAAAATCTGAGTACTAGAAATCTTTAATCTAGCTGCGCTAAGCGTACTCAAGCATATTTCACTTCTCCACTTATTCACTTTTCCATATACCTACTTTCATTCTACTGCACAGAGTCTCGGGAAACAATTTTCTAAGAAATAGTGAATTGAGAACGATCTTGAGAGTATGAACACACGTTAGTAAACGTGCAACGCGTGCATTTGAAATTTAAGCTTTTTACATATACACACGATCAGACTTTATTTATAAACTTCATCTCATTTTTTCTCCAACTACTTTTCTTTTTTACCTACAAAAATCTATAAAAATTCAATGAACATACTACACTACGGAATCATGATTAAAAAGCATATGAAAGAATAGATGCAAAATAAAAAACTGCCATCAATGAAAGTCAAAAAATGACGAATAATTAATTTCGTTTTTCCATGACTTATATAAAAAGAAGACAACATAAGAATATTATTATAAAACATGAAAATATCAATTACTCCGAGTCTCATGTTTCATAATAATTATGAAATATTCATGTTTTATAATAATTAAAAATGACTGAGTGAAAAAAATCATTATTTCATACACTGTAAAATAAATTTATTTGATTCAAATAACCAATTAATTGAGTATTATCAATTAAATATTTACTTGAATCAAATAATATTTATTGGAGTCAGTTAAATGGTTCAGTTCATATTTGCTTCAAATACTGAAATAAAGGGTTCAAATACCATTTAATTGACTCCAACAAATATTATTTGTTTCAATTAAATATTTAATTGATAATAATCTATTTTATTTGAATCAAATACATTTTTTATTCAGAGATGTATTATAAGAATATTGTTACTGCAACTTCTTCAAAATTTTTTTCATCATTTAATATTCAATTACTATCTACAATTTTAACAAAAATCCATTTTTAAATACAATTTTTATTAGAAACTCCTACGAGAATTCAATTATTTAAATACAAATATAAGTAATTTATTGAATAATTGAATGTTTCTGAAAATTGAATTCTAATAATGAATTTTATAAATAAATTTTAAAAACTGTATGAAAAATAATTCAAATTCTGCAATGAGTTTTATTATTTATGAAAATATCTAAATCCATGTTCAAAATTTTAATTCATTCTAAAATGCTTCTAATATTCCATTATATTACTTAAAATATTAACTGAAATTCATTTTTAAATCAATTTTTATTAGAAAATTCTACTGGAATTCAATTATTTACATACGAAAATAAATAATTTATTAAATAATTGAATTTTTCTCAATATTGAATTCTCATAAAGAATTTTATAAACAAATTTATAAATAATTGAATGCTTTCATAAAATTTTAATAAAAATTTTTAAAATAATTGCATTTTCCGAGGAAGTCAATTAAAATTGTATTAAAAATAATTGAAATTCTGAGATGGGTTTTATAAAAATATAAAACTAATTAACTTCCTAAAAGAAATTTTATTATTTATGAAAATAATTGAATCATTGTTAAAAATTTTAATTCATCCCAAAATCCTTCTAACATTCAATTATTACTAAAGATTTTGACTGAAATTCATTTTTAAATAAATTTTAATAAGAAAATTCTACAAGCACTCAACTATTAAATACAAAAATAAATAATTCATTGAATAATTGAATGTTTCTCAAAATTGAATTCTCATAAAATAATTGAAATATTGCAAAGAATATTCTTAAAATTTTTGAAAATAATTGAATTTCCGAGAAAAATTTTATTATTTATAAAAATAATCGAATATTTGAGGAGAATTTTTAAAAAATTTTGAAAATAATTGAATTATTAAGAAAAAATTTATAAAAAAAAATTTGTTAATAATTGAATGCCTGTGAAATTTTTATTATTTATGAAAATAATTTAATGTTTAAGTAGAATGTTATCAACATTTTTTTTTTAAATTAAATTCATTTGGGAACTTCTAATAAAATTTTTGAAAATAATTGAATTTCCGAGATGAATTTTATTTATTAAGATAATTGAAATTTTAACAAGAATTTTTAAAAAATTTTGAAAACAATTGAATTTCTCCGAAAAATTTTATAACTTTTGAAAATAATTGAATTCATGTGAAATTATTATTATTTACGAAAATAATTTAATGTGTTTGAGTAAAATTTTATCAAAAATTTTTTTAAATAATTGAATACTTTTTAGAAATGTTATTAAAATAATAGATGAAATATTAAAAAGAAAAGCCGTTGTAAAGGAGAGCAACGTTATAAATTTATGCACGACTTTTCCAGTCGCGCTAGTAATAATTGAAATTCACTAGTATTTTATTAAAATTTTTGAAAATAATTGAATTTTACTATTTATAAAGATAATTGAAATTTTGACAATCATTTTAAAAAAATTGTGAAAATAATTGAATTTTGCGAAGAATTTTATTAAAATTCCTATAAATAATTGTATTTTGCAAAGAATTTTTTTTAATTTTTGTAAATAATTGAATTTCAGCGAAAATTGTTTGCTATTTATAAAGATAATTGAAATCTTGACTATAATTTTTAAACAATTGAACAAAATAATTGAATTTTGCGAAGAATTTTATTAAAGTTCCTATAAATAATTAAATTTTGCAAAGAATTTTTTAAAACTCATGTAAATAATTGAATTTCGTCGAAGAATGTTGTTATTTATAAAAATAATTGAAATCTTAAAGACAATTTAAAGAAAAAAATAATTTATTTTCTGCGAAGAATTTTATTACTTTTGAAAATAATTGAATTCTAATGAAGGATATTGTTATTTATGATAAAATATTACATTTTGCAAAGAATATATTTTAAAAAATATAAATAATTTTAGAAGAATTTAAATTGTTAAAATTTTTTTCAAAATCAAAGTTGTTTAAAATATTTAATTCAATTCATTCAGAATTGAAATTTTATAGAATGCGTTAAATTGAAACCTTTCAAATTTCATCTAACTAAAATTCTAAATGCAAATTTTAAAATTCAATAAATTTGATATTAGTTCTTCAAGAATGAAGTTATATTTAAAAAGGATTTATTGTCAGAAATAGAAAAAATTGAAGGTTTTGTATTATAGAATTCGTGGTAATTTCCATAGTTTATGAGGGCAAACAAAAAAGACAAAAATTTAGAATTTTCATAATATGAATTCTAAAAATTTAATTTTTTTGCAGTAGGGGAGAGTGGGGCAAAGAGAAAATTGGAAAATTCAATTGTTTTTAACCAAATTATTTTCAATATTGCCTTTGCCCCACATAACAAACTTTTTTTTCACTTTAAATTTCAAATATTTATATACAAAATTAAACTAAAACACCACGCAAGTTGTGTAGAGAAATATTTAATTTATTTACATGTTATGTTTTTAAAAATTAAATACTTAAACTTATGTTTTAAAAAATAAGAGTTTGTTCAGTAAAATTATCATTTTATTTTTGCAAAACAATTTTTTTGTTATATTTCTTAAAATATTTGATATTTTTAGGTTTTTCTTTTTTTAATCAATTGGTCTGATTGCATTGCAACTTAATTTTTAATACCAATTGGAATAGACAGAAAATAAAGGAGATATTTTAAAAAACGTCTTTGCCCCGCATAGCGCCTTTGCCCCACTCTCCCCTACTTTTAATAAAAATTCCTGACTTCCCTGACCTGCGTAGCAACCCTGACGACAAAATAAAAAAAAAATTTTGTCAAAAAGCAACAAAATACAATAAACTAGAGAGCATAAACACGAATTTTTGAAACACAAACTGGTTGTCCGCGGTAAGGTAAAATGTAAGGTTCTGCGACTCGGGGTCAATTAGCAAATGGAAGTCTCTGAATCGGAGCTTTGAAAGCAAAAAAAGAGAGAATCTAAATGAAAAGTCCGCAAGCGAGAAAGAAGGAATAAAAAAGGGGGAGATGAAAAAGGCGGAAAAAATGGCACGCCCTATATCACTGCGCGCGAAATGGGATCAGAGTACCACGCGAAGTTGCACATACAGTCAACACATACATATATATATATATATATATATATATCCTCTCTCCTTTCTCCTATAATGCATTGCACTTTAGCATTTGGCCAACAGCTACTATTCACTATCGCACTACACTGCCCCCAACGGGGTGTATATTCCCTGTTGGCACTGGACCCTTCCATAATAGAAAACCTATATCTCCTCTTCCAACCTAACCCAAAAGCGAACAAAACAACCCCAAAAACCAAAAGTTTTCACCCCGCACTTGAAAACGATTTTGGTCAAGTGAAATTACACCGTTTTGGACCAGTAAACATACACCGGCAAATCGAAAACTATTTCAACCGAATAGCGTGAAAAAAGAGAAGTGCGCGCAAAAAAAAAAAAACTAATAAAACATACCAATTTAAATCTTCAACAACAATATTTTAATACAATTTTTTTTTTTTTTTTTTTTCTGAAATTCATTTTCCACTATGAGAAAGAGTTGACCTTTTTTAGCGCGCCTCTTCTACAAATTTGTATTCATAGTTTTTAAAGTTTTACACAAATTCACACGAGGCGACCGCGAATATTTTAATTTTTCATTTGCTTTCTTCGTGTCAGAAGAGGGAAAACGATAGAATATTTTTCGCACGAGGC